TATTTTGTATGGTAAATTGGCGATGGTACTGTAATATTCTGGTTATACACATTTTTTCTTATATTATATTAGAGGGTTTTCCAAAAATGGTGATAAACGCAAAGGCCGATAAAACTAGAAATACCTTAAAAAAGGGTTTTTTAAAAAACCTAAGGTTTATTTATTTAACGGTCTCCTCGATTTGTCTTAATAAAACATATTTTAAATAGTCTTGGTATATAAAATTAAATCAAATTTATGATCAATATGGAGTTCTTGCCGATCAACCACATTAGATTTAAAGCTTATATGATATTTGTCTTCCGGACGCTGTCGGTGCTATTCATCACTTGCCGTCGACTGTACTGAGTTTATCAAAAAAAAATCTACTTCTAAATTTTAAATTAAATTTTTTTCTTTGAAAGAAAATGTGTCTCATAAATTTGCTAAAATCTTTCCAAACCTCATTTGAGGCTGGCCAACACAATACTTTAAGTTTTGCCATCCCCCAAATGGTGTTTTCCAATAATCAAGTTACAATTATCAGGTCAGACTTTGACCTCCCTTGGGGGAATTGACTTTTATGCCTCAGCATGCCTCTCAGGTTCCATAAAAGAGGCCCCATTCATACGTAACCATTTCCCACTTTGCGTTCAAGTTTTCCATTTCCGCCTTGGCGCCTTTTTCCTGCCCCTCCCCGTCCCGTCTACAGTCCCAGTTGCATAATATTGTATTATCCCCAACGCCTATCTGCATTGTCCCGGCACAACAGGACACCGCCCCTCGGAATCCGCACTTTCATTGCCAGTTATCTGCGAGTACCCTTGTGTCAGAATTATAATCTTACAGGGCCTAACAAGTGCAAGTGCGGCTGGAATTTAATATCACGAACGCCGTTGTTGTCTTCCTCGCCGGTTTGTTGGTTTTAAGTTTTCGTGTATTTCATTACAAGGGAGTTGGGATTGGAATTGGGATTGGGACTGGGATTGGGATTGGGATTGGGAATAAGGAAAGGCGTCGTGTGCCGCTTGCCACATTCAGCAGAAGCTTAAATCCTTTACACAAGCTGTTTGCCGCGCATAACGAAATAAAATAAATAATCCCGTTTAATGGAAAGGCGCCGGGAATGAGCGGCACTGTCGGAGGCACCTCCGCGTCCACATCGCCAGCCCCATCCCGCTTCCATCCGAGCACCAACAATGCCGCCCGGCATCGCATTTCCCTTCCAATTTTCCTTGCCTGTGCCTGCTTCTTCTTCCCCTGCAGCTCCTGGTGATTCTGCTCCTTTTCAGCTCCTTTTCATTTCTCGCCGCTGTTGTGCACACGTACGCGGCTTAAGATTTCCCATTCATATCGTGTGCGGTGACTGCTCCAGATTTAAACAGGGATGGAAGCCGATTCTGAGCCGAACCAACTCATCTGAACTGCTTTTTTCTGCTCTTAAAAACGGACCTATAGGATGAATTGAAAAATTAATTATTATAGTTATTAAATAAGCTTTCCAACACTATTAAAACCTCAGTTTATGACCCAGAACTGCGGAATACATTTGGATAACCAATTCCCAAGCTGCTGATCTCTTGATTAATTCAAACAGGGAGGATACTTCAGACAAAAAGAAACCAAGTGCAATAAAAACATTTATCCTTGGTGTGTTTTGACAGACGCCAAAAGCTCAAGGGTAGACCAAACCGGTTCATCGAACAGAACATTTTCGATCCGCCTGTACCCCTGAACTTTAAGGAAAATACATTTGCTCTATGCGTAGTCGACATCCTGTTCAATATGCATTCGGCTGGTGGTTAATGCCGCCTTGGGAGTAACTGATTGCCACAGTGGCACCATTATTATGCATTCAGAATGATGCACGTCCATGGCATTTTTTCAGCCAGCCTGCCGCAAAATGCACACACAAATCCTGCCGGGGTCCTGATTGCGGTGCCGGTCTGCCTCCTGACAGCCTTCAGGACACATACATATATCGCTCAAGCTTAACGAGCACTTAAGGGTCTTCGCTCGGAGCTGCTTAGCTCTAAATATTATGTTTAATTAAATATGAGCTCATAATCGAGTTCGGCCATTTAGCCTGCTGGCCAGCTGGCCTCTCTCCCGTTTTATAGCCACTTTATCGGTTTAATTAAAAGGTTGGCTTTTAATTGAAATCGCTCTGATATCGGAGCTGTCACAATTGCCATCTACCCTTTAAGCGGAGGAGTGAGATATGATTAGTGTAATTGCTGAAGGCTGGCTTGAAAATTATTATCCGATATGTAGAGGATTATCTTGAAGGACCTTGAGCATGCCGACGGTTGGGAATTTATCTTGGGCTTAATCAATCAACTCAGGCACTGAATAAAATATGTACGTCTGGTCGAAGATAACCTAAGGCTATAAACGAGCAGCTCCCACATTTTATTGGCTATTCCCCGATGTCCCAGTACGGCTTGTTTGCAAAGGCTTCTGTCACTTTGGGTTTTATTTGGCTTTTCCACGGAAAACATATTTATTAGCAACATGTCGAATGGGTAATGCAATCGAGGCCTTGAATCAGTTACTGCCAAGGGTGTGTGTGCGAAAGTGACTTTTCAATTTGAATAAACGAATGTTGCAGGGTAAATATTTGATTTATTTTCGGGTGACCTTTGTCAAATAGACACATTCGAAATCCGACTTTCCTGCCCACACTTCTCGCACAGCTTGGGTCAAAATGGTGAAACGAAAGAGACTTTCTACAATCGGAAAAATTCCAAAAGGACCAAAACTAAAATTTTTAAATTTCCTACATGTTATGTTATGTGTAATTAATTTTTAGGACCTTGATTTTTTTTTAATTAATTAAATTTATTATTTAATATTAATAATAATATTTAATGCCGTTTTGTACGTACACTTTTGGTCTTAAGTAGACTTAAGGGGGTATATACCTTTTTCATTTTCAAAAAATCGAAAAATTTTTTTTTGCTTTACCTTAAAGAACAACTTGTTGAGAATATTTCCCCAAATTTTCATAGAGATTTGAGCAGTAGAAAGAAAGTCACAGCGCTCTTAGCCGCGCCCCTCGCCCCTCGTCCCCGCCCAAAACCAAACTTGAAACTTTAAACGCGAATATCTCGAAATGGTGTTTTTTGAAAAATGACTTTGCGGTGATATGGATTGGCGAAAAACTACTGAACCGATTTTCTTCAAATTTTTTTTTAAATGTTCGTAATGAATTTTCGAGTACTTGAACGATCATTTTTTCATGTAAAAATTTTTATTTCCCCGAAATAGATACTTTTGTAAGAATTCTAGCGTCCAAAAACTTAATTTTTTGCATAAAATGTTCCCGTATGCACAAAAAAATAAAAAATTTTAAAAACGTTCGTTCAAGTACAGGATATTACTTTAAACTAATGAAATATTTTTATTTTTACGGCTTTAGTTGACCCGTTCGTCCTGGGGAATTATCACCGCAAGTCTCTTCAAAAAAAGCGTTTAAGGGAAACAGACACCCCTTAAAAACTATTAAATATTTTTTTACACATTTTTGCATAAACATTGTAAACTATCTAAGCTTTCAGAAAATATAATCATTCATTTAATAAAAAAAATTGTTACTTACATAAAAAAAATTCAAAATTTCCTATTTTTTTCGACAAAAAAATGTATGTACCCCCTTAAGTGCCAAAGTCATGGATTTTTAAAAAATAAGTTAGTTAAGGTAAACTTCAGTTTAATCTTTCTGCAATAAAATGTTTAGTTTGTAAGATATTTTCCTAAATGTATTTTTGTAGAAAAAAGGGGTGGTGAGATGTAACACCTTTATGTAGTTGTTTTAATTATTAGTAAAGCATAAATAATTTTAAAAATACATTTCTTAGTTAAGTTATGTTGAGATATATTTTAAATATATAAGGGTCCAATATTAGGTTGGTACCCCTAAAGTGCAGTTAAGAAAAAATAAGTACAATGTAAAAAGGGACTAAGCTATTTGAAATTATAATTTCCCGACTATATTTGTGTGACCACTGGTATAAATAAATATTCGAAGCTCACACATTTGTCTCTTGTATCTTTTTGACTTGGATGTTTCCCGAAATTCAATTTGCATATTTCCATCTCCCTCTTTAGCACATTGCATAAAAGTTTATAATTTCCATTTGTGTTGCGTTACTCGACAAGCAATTTTCGCTTTATAACTCCATTGCCTCAAAAGGTTAGGACGAGAGCAGAAAAACCAATTCAGAATAATCTTGCCAATTACTGGCAAGGTCAGCCGAGTCATTTTGGCAACGCACAAACGATTATTACTGCATTAGGAGTCGGCAAAGAAACGCACATGTGAGTCGCATGCAGATAAGCAAACGTAATAGAAACAGATTATATCCCATCCCCACTGGGACCCACACTCGAACCCGTTTCCCGTTCCCATCCCCGATTCCCCTCCCACGGTCTCCATTCATCCGAAACATAATCGTAAAAGTCAAAGCTAAGCTCAATGCTAGATTGCAGCATTTTGTTTGGGGGGAACATTTTAAAGCAGTCGTCGGGGAATGAGATATAATAGAGATGCTCTTCTTGTTCAAGGATGTGACTCTTACCAGGGGATTCGGCATGGCTTGAAGTTGGGTTAGCCTTAAATTTAATTCTGAGATCTTAATACATCATAAGAAAACAAAATTAGCTAGTATTTATATACTTATTTTAATTCCAAGAAGTTGTCCGTCATTTAATATATTAATTGTTGAAAAAGATAATCAGGTCTAAAACCATTTCTTCCTTATAGTTAAATATATTCTTAAGTTATTTATTAATTAGTTTCTCGTTCTCCTAGTAGAAAACATTTTTATGCTTTGACCAGAAATTAAGTTTTTGTAGTGTAAATTACAAAAAAGGTAAATGGATACCAAAATTATTTAAGCTTTGATTAGGTTGTTCAGAAATTAGTAACACATTTGTTGCTCCGGTCGTTGGTTTTGATAAGTGTTTTCCAAAAGTTATATATGTTTTTGGGGAGCTTTAAATTATAAATAACTGATCAATTCTAAAAAGTTTTATGCTTTATTAAATGAATTAAAAATGCAATCTTTCTTAAAGTAGAACCATTGTTCCAGTGTTATAATCATGTTTCCTTGATGATCTGCGGCTTGAAGTCCTGTTTCGAAGCCTTTTCAAGAGACTCCGCATAGAGTGGGAGCCTTTGAGTCATGCGGAAGCCCCAAAAGTCTTTCACCTGGCGACATAGGTTCAGATCAAGTTCAACAACTAGTAAGCCATCTCTGTCTCGCGACAAGCTCTGAAAATATAAGTTGCATCAACATTTTAGTAGTATTCAGGAGACTTTAAAGTCGAATTTCTTTATAAGGCCAGAGAAATATTTTCTTTTTTTTAACCAAAGTTGGAGGGTGGGTTTTTATCTGACTTACCGGAGTCCTCGAACCGTCAGGAGCAGCGACGTACGAAGAACCGTAGAAGGGTCCGAACTCCTTATGGGCCTTATTACCATCCCCAGAGGTGTACTCGTTAGGGAATTGCTCCGTTCCCACGCGATTAATCGGCACAGTGAAATAGCTATTGGCGATGGCGGCGTTTCGTGCTTCAATGCTCCAAAGAGGCTCCGATAGCCGTCCGATCGTGGCCGAGGGATTGAAGACGATCTCCGCCCCATTCAGCCCGAACATCATCCAGTTCTGCGGGTGATGGCGCCCATAGCAGATGTTAATGGCCAGCTTGCCAAACTCCGTCTCGAAGACCGGGTGTCCGGTGTCGCCCTCCAAATAGTACGTGGACTCATTGAAGTCGCCCACCCGGGGAATGTGGTTCTTGCGGTGCTTGCCCAGGTAACGACCGCTGTTCGAGATGACCACAGCCGTGTTCCAAATGGTCTCGCCGTGCTCTATATCGCGCTCCAGGATCGAGTGGATGATCACCATGTTGTAGGACTTGGCCAGCTCAGCAAGCATCTTGGTCGTGGGTCCGTTTTCGGCCTCCTCGGCGAACTCGCACCAGGGGAACTTCTCTCGAGTGCAGAATGCAAATGGCATGGCTGAAGAAAATGAAGAAATGTATTAAATTAATTAAAATTCATTGACGAGAAGACAAAAATAAAATTTAGAGCCTTGTCATGGTAGACTTACTCCACGCTTCTTGGGTACAAATAATATTGCACCCAGCCTCCGCCGCCGCCTTGATCATGGTCTTCACCTTGCTCCAAATGGCCTCCCGCTGCTTTTCAATGGGTTCTGTGGTGGGGATCGCGATTGAGTTCTGTATGGCGCCAACCCTAACAATACGGCGCTTTCGAGTTTGCTCTTCTCGGGCCGTGAAGCGATATCCTTTGAGGTCAAAGCCATTCTCTTGGGCGATGTCTGTGGCACTGGTGGGCAGCTCCAGCGTTTGGCTGCATACAAAAGGTTCGAATATAATAATGATTAAATAAACTATTGAACATTTTTAAAAAATATATTTCATATATATTATAAAAATATATATGTATATATATATATATACAAATAGGTAACAAAACTATTTTTTCCTCTCCATGATTATATTAAAGAATGGTTAAAATATATACATAGGAATATACCCTAAGAGATTAATATAGCTTGGCCAGATGTTTTTTGCTGTGATAGAGACCTCGTTAAAAAATTCGAGGTCATCACCATGTGTTCATGTCTTTGAAACCGGCTGAAGTCGGTTGCTTATCACTCTTACGAATAATCGCAAAAAATAAGAAAAATTTTTGAACTTAAAACGAAATTGAAGATAGTTTTTAAAAGCGCGTACAATGATTGAAGATAGGATTTCTTAGTTCCGATAATATCTGATAAATAAAATTTAGATGTCTTTATATTAATTCAATAATATAGAATACCTTAAAAAATATTAACGTATCAGCATACCTTGTTTGCTTAATTTGTTTTGTTTTGCTTCAAAGAACGATCATTATTCGCTTTGCCAGCTGTTCTCCCAAATATATACATATATTACTGTGTGGATACAACGACTACGAAATAGATTGTTTTAGTTCTATATATAAATGTATTTTGAAATAAACAACTTTGAATGAATAATCAAAAAATATATAGACAATGTTAAGTTGAGCAGTGAATGTTTGTTTAAAGATTAAGATTAAAATATTTTTAGATCTATCTGGAGATATTTTTTATGGCCCCCACACATGATTTTTACTTTGTCAGGCGTTCTAGTCATAATCGCTTTTCAGCTGTACTCACTCTTCTTCCACACCGTACAAAATTCGCTTCACCTCCTTTAGTTCATCAGCAGGTAAGTGCTTTTCCAAGCAATCATTTAAATTTTTTAGTTCAAACGCCGACATTGCTCGTAATTCACAGCAGCACAAAATCTCATCAATTGGATGGCTCCGATTTAATTTATAGACAACCTTTTGCGTTGAGCGCACTCAACAGAATGCTTCTGCCGACGATCGTTTTCCACATCTTATCTCTATCTCTATGCCTCTCTCTATTTTTGTACAAGTTTGTGGATTTTCTCTCAGATCTTCTCTCTACTGTACAGAAAATTAGTATAAAACTACACTCATTGGCATTTGAATAGCATACCCACTCATTTCTTAAAATGATTTGAAAAGATTTCGCATTGTAACGATCACGGATAAATTATATATTTAGACAATGTATTTTATTTAAAATGAAATAAAACAACTTTAAATTAGCTTTTTTTACCTTATTTAAAAATGATAAAGCATAATATGACGAAATATGTTGTAATACATCGGAGTATGTAGGAATGTCTTCTAATATGTTAAATAGTTTAAATATGTGTAAAACATAAAATATTATAATTATAATCACCTGTAGGGTTTCCAACGATTCCTTCTGTCTGTTTCACCGCAAACCACTCTCACAGTTTTAAAACTGAATCAAACTTTGTATACCCTTGCAGCAACGCATTAAAGGGCACATTTCCGCTATTTGCATGAAACTTAGAAAGAGGTCTTTTTTTCATAACTTTCATGGGTACAATAGGGAAAAAGTGAAATATTTTATTGTTTTTGTTATTTTTAAGATTTTAGAATTACGGTCTTACTTTTATACAAATCGAACGGCTGTATCATATAGCTGTCAAAGGAGCGATCGAAAAATATATCGGAAAATATATCATTGTTTTTAACATCGAAATCGAAATAAACAATATGTAGTTTTTGTAACAGCTGCAAGCTGTTCTGTATTTATACCCTTCCATACGGTATTTTTATTTCAGTCTAAAGCTTGCAACGCAGTAAAGGAGACATTTCCGACCCTATATTCTTGATCAGCATCACCAGGAGAGTCGATCTAGACATGTCGGTCCGTCTCTACGCAAACTAAATTATAACTTTGTTGTTTTTAATTACTTTTTTTGTTCTTTAGGATTTGGTAATATTTAAATATTATGGAACTATAATTTTATTTAATTAAAAATCGGACAACAATATCAAATAGCTGCCATAGAAACGATGGCAAAATGCAGCACAAAATCGACATAGCCTCATTGTTTTTCTTAATATAGGCATAGATTTGTAACAACTGCAAAGGTATATAAACTTAACTTACTCCGAGATATAACTATGTTTAACAAATTTAGGATTATGGTTTTAATTATAAACAAGAAAGGAAAGCTAACTTCGGGCGGAGCCGAAGTTGATATACCCTTGCAGAATATTTTGTAAATTATATTCTCCAAAATTATTCATATGATGCATTCTTAATACTCATAAAAAATCCCAACTTTCTAACTTTAAAAACACCAAAGTTATGGCATTTCCAATCGTTCAGTTATATGGCAGCTATAGGATATAGTCGGCCGATCCTTATGAAATTTGGTAGGTCGGATTGATTGGCCAAATATAAAACCCATAGAAAATCCCAACTTTCTAACTTTACAAACACCAAAGTTATGGCATTTCCGATCAATCAGTTATATAGCGGCTATAGGATATAGTCGGCCGATCTTTATGAAATTTGGTATGTCAGATTGATTGGCCAAATATAAAACCCATAGAAAATACCAACTTCCTTACTTTACAAACACCAAAGTTATTGCATTTCCGATCAATCAGTTATATGGCAGCTATAGGATATAGTCGGCCGATCCCGGCCGTTCCAACTTATATACTGCGTGCAAAGGAAAGAAGGGTGTGTGCAAAGTTTCAATTCGATATCTTTAAAACTGAGAGACTAGTTCGCGTAGAAACAGACAGACGGACAGACAGACGGACATGGCTATATCAACTCAGGAGGTGATCCTGATCAAGAATATATATACTTTATAGGGTCTGAGATGCCTCCTTCACTGCGTTGCACACTTTTAACCAAAATTATAATACCCTCTGCAAGGGTATAAAAATGTCAAATATGTCATACTGCTGCCATATATTTCGGAAATTACAAATACGAATTGCTTCATCTCTTGCTTTGATTAATATACTATTTTTTATTAAACTTAAATAAAAGATATCTTTGGTAAACAAAATTAATATTTTGTTCCACTAACCGTAACACCGGTTTTCACATTTTCAATTTCCTTTCGTTCGTTATATTTCTGAATCAGTATTATTTAAAGGCCTTGATAGGCGTAAGTCATCAAGCCTTCAAAATATGCTTGGTTAGCCCGTATAAGCTGATTTTGTCAAATTTGGTAAGTATTGAGTCAGTTTTGCGTATATCCTTGTCAACTCAGCCGAGCATCTCTGATGTCAGCCACTTTGCCTGAAAGCTGACAGCGTTTGGGCCATTTTGTATTAGAAAAGATTAACTTCAAGCCGAATCTGGGTCGTTGGTGCTTGGAGGCAATGCAAATTACCCAAAATCTTTTTCGGGCGAAAACTGTTTGTTTGTCTAGTTCCAGTGCTTCTTGGTACTCTTTTTGTTTTCTTTTCCAGTTGGCAACTCAATTGAGTGTAAAACAATTTCATTAAATTGACAGTCGACGCGTTCCTTCCGCGCACCCAACTTTTCTCAGCGTGTACGTGTGTGGGCTTGTGTTTACTTTATCGAACACTTTCATGGGGACCCAGTGTCCTCCATTTGGCCACATTCATTTATTGAACAGCGGCAGCAAACCCGGTCCCAAACGATCCGAACCTCATCATTGTGGATGTCGTCTGCTCGCCGGTTTTGTTCTATTTTTATTATTATTTTATTGTCTGGTTGCAAGGTCCATGTGGGAGTGGGGTGTGGGGGGACCGGAGCTCGAAGCCCTGGGATCGAGGACCAAGGACCTTCTTGCCATTGCAATTTATCGCATACGCTCTGGAAACATGTTCGCAGGCATTTTTATCATTTCCGCATTTATATGGTTTCCGCTTGAGCTGCAAGCAAACTAAGAAGTGGCTTTCTGCCTTATTGCCCCGAGAATCCGCCATTCGCCGTCCTCCATCCTGGATGTCCTAGCAGCTGGAACAGAAACCGAACCTCGCTCAGCCGAATGAATTGTTTAGGTTTAATTTATTGTACCGAGATTGGTTATGGGCTTCTGGCCGGGTCAAAATCACACAGTAACACACACATTGCACTGCCCGAAATGAATGACACACAAGGGGGAAATCGGTGGGAGGTCCAAGGCCGAAGTTTGACAAAGTTTCAGGTTTCAGTTTGATGACATCAATTTATTCATAAAACCAAGATGCATAAAGATAAATGAAAATGTCTGTGATTTCTGAAGCAATCTAAAACAATGAAAGAAGAATGGCGAATTTCTACACAAAAAGTTAATTACATTGAGTTAGACTCAATATTGAATTTTGGGAGTGAAAAATGATTTTACCAGTGGCAATGGAAACAAAATGGCATGCTAATCGATAAAGAAGCTTTAACTAGCATAATATTTTAATTATTTGCTTAATTATAAATCACGCTTGGAGCAAACAAATTTTAAATAAAACGAAGATCTTGTTTTCAGATAATTGAGTTGTATATCTCAATACATTTATTACCCTATTTAAGTCGGTGCTTGCCAAATTCACAAACATTTCTAAGGCTCTTTGTAACTATTAAGTGCTTATATAAATGAGATTGCTGAAAATTAACAACTAATGCACACGAAATATGCCACAAATAAATGTTTGAAGCCCATTATCTTAAATTAATTTTAAATTGGTAAATAATGACATATTATGTTGATAAATGTAGTACTTAATTAAGAAATTATATTTATTCAACAAAGCTACTTTAATTGTTAATTTTGATAAGTGTTGTCGAAGAAGCCAGACCTTACAAGTAATCTATTACATGAATCTTGCCATATGGGACCTTTAATATGATGCGTTATCATGGAGGGGGTTAAGCGAAAGACTACTCCTGTAAAGTTTTTAAATTTTTGGCATATTCTTTCAGAAATCGGAAAAACCATGATAACGTATTATTTGGAAAGCCATTGTCCTTCTTAAGATAATATACGATTAATAATTTGATATTTGGTATTGTTATTTTTAGGATTTTAGTACTTCGGTCTTACTTTTATAAAAATCGAACGACTGAATCATAAAGCTGTCATAGCAACGATCGAAAAATGTGTAGGAAAATAAATCATTAACTATGATGTATTTGGACAAATGAACAACTTGAACTGTGTTTTCTCATATCAAAAAATCTCCCCTGGCCTATGAGCACTAACCCAAACTTCTTCCCTGTGTAATTTTCAATAAAAAATATAACACTGGAAAGGATAGGAAGCAAAAAATTACAACTCTTACATTGTGTCTGCTGCCAGTTCTCCTCCATTAAAAAATGGCAAAAAGGAAGAGAAGGGCCAGAAAAGCAAGGGACACAAAAAGGGGCAGCGAGACTTGTTAAGGGTCAGTAATAAATCTCGGCAGCTTGTGCTGTAACTTAAATTAAATGCTGCAAAATCGGCAGGGCAATGGGCATCTCGTGTGGACTTTTGACAGCCGCAAAGGAAAACTACAAGGAAAATGTAAGAAAAGAGAAAAAAAAAACCGCGCCGCACGCAGGCGACTTGAAAAATGAGAGACAAAAGCGCACTGAGACGTGAGCTAGGCGAAACAAGAAACCAAATTAAACAGAATTTGGAAAACAAGCGGCTAAATATGCCGCAATTGCTGGCTCTGTCAGGAGGTCTGCTTTGCCCGTCTGCCATTTCTCAGTTTTTGCATATGCAAAAGTCAGGCAGCCAAAAACGGTCTGCACGTGGCAAACAAAACTGTTGGCCACTTTCTAGCAGAAAAACGGAAAATTTATGGCTGCCAGCATTTGCGTGTTGGCAACTTTTTTGGCCACTCTCCACCTGGAAAAGATGAAAATATTACATATCCCACACGTAGCGCATAGAAGAGTTAAATTGGTAAAAAAAAAACAAAATGCAAACAAATGAGTTTTCCTATCAAAACTCCTTTATAATGGGGTAAACTGAGCCCTCTCTGACTATTCAATTTGC